ACTCAAACGCTGCTTCACCTCTGCCCCAGTCCTCATTCGCCCAGACCCGGAACTCCAGTTTGTCATGGAGGTGGACCTCTGACCCTGGGTTAGGTGCTGTCTTGTCACAGCGTTCACCCTTTGATCAGAAACTTCACCCATGTGCATTCTTTTCTCAGAAGCTCTCATCTGCAGAAAGGAATTATGACATTGGGAACAAAGAGCTCCTGGCAGTCAAGTTGGCCATGGAGGAATGGCGTCATTGGTTGGAAGGCTCTCTGCATCCTTTCATCGTGTGGACTGACCACATGAACTTGTCCTACATCCAGACTGCCAAACGTCTGAACCCCAGGCAAGCCAGGTGGGCACTGTTTTTCGGCAGATTTAACTTCACGCTCACCTATCGCCCTGGTTCTAGGAATACCAAGCCTGATACCCTCTCCTAGTTCACCGTCGACAGCACTGGTTCCCAGTCAACTACTATTTTGCCATCCACCTGCATTGTTGCCACCCTATGCTGGTAGATCGAGTCCTTAAGCGTCAAGCCCAGCAGAACCAGCCTGACCCAGGTAACAGTCCCAGAAATACACTGTTTGTTCCTGATTCTGTTCGCTCAGATGTTCTGCAGTGGTCCCACTCCACCCATCTCACCTGTCACCCCGGTGTGCACCGGACCCTAGCCTTCTTGCGTCAGCTTCTGGTGGCCCACTATGGGGATAGATGCCCGGGACTTGGTCTCTGCCTGCTCGATCTGTGCCCGGAACAAGACCTCCACTAGTCCCTCTTCTGGTCTGCTTCGCCCGTTGCCCATACCCAGCCGCCCCTGGTCACACATTACTCTAGACTTTGTCACCGGCCTTCCCCCATCTAACCGTAACTCAGTCATCCTCACAATAATTGATAGATTTCCAAAGCTGCTCACTTCATTCCTCTCTCCAAGCTCCCATCCTCCAGGGAAACGGCAGACCCACTGGTTTCCCATGTGTTCCATCTGCACGGCATACCCATTGGTTGAGGTTGCAGTTCCCTCTGTCCTTGATCATCTACGCCGCTGCTGTCGGACTTGGAGGAAGGCCCGAGCTGCCTTGCTTCGGGCTTCCACCAGGGCCCAGTCCCAAGCCAATTGGCGCCGAACCCCTGCTCCAGTGTACACCCCAGGCCAAAAGGTATGGCTCTCTTACAGGGACTTACCTCTGAAGGTCGACTCTAAGGAACTCGCCCCCAGATTCATTGGCCCTTTCGAAATTGACCATGTAATAAAGCCCTCTGCAGTTTGTCTAAGACTCCCATCGTCTCTCAGGATCCATCCCATCTTCCATGTCTCCCTGATTAAACCTGTCCGCTTCAGCCATCTGTTTCCTCCTGCAGCAGCTCCTCCCCCTCCTCAAATGATCGATGACCATCTGGCCTATACTGTCCGGTGCCTCCTGGACGTACGCGCGCAGGGGCGGGGCTTATAGTATCTAGTCGATTGGGAAGGATATGGGCCTGAGGAGCGCTGCTAGGTGCCCCTTCGCCAGATTCTGGACACCACCCTCATACGTGATTTCGACACCTTACACCCAGACAAGCCTGGTCAGGCGCCAAGTGGTGCCAATAGAGGGGGGGGTACTGTTACATCTGCCCCTCGAACTGCTCCTACCATGCCCTTTACCTCTAGTTCTAAGAACTGCTAACCTGCTACCACTCCCTGAGTGAAGCCATGATGATTAAGATAAACATCCTGCCGATGCAGGGCAAATTCTTATGACAAAGCAAAGGCCCACAAACTCATTACAATGCAGTAAGAGAGGCAGGTCATCCGTGTGTCCCTCCCTAACTTCAAACTTTATAATTGGGCCTTGACAATTAGACCTCAGGTAACCCTGTATCAAGTTGTTGTTCAGTGCATGTTGGAGGAGAGATGCATGAGCCCTGACTGCCTTGTTGATTCTCCATATTCAAATGTTCTGTCTCATATTATGTCTTTGTGGCCCTATTGTTTTGGACTTACTCTCAGTGTGGAGGCTGTTATTTTGCTCCCTACTATATAATAATGTCAAACTATTAATGTAGAAGGTGATTCCAAGCAGCTTTAAGCTTCTGTGACCAAGCCTAATATATTTACATTTAAAGTACTTTGGCCTGTAGCCAAACTCCATTCCTCCAACCACAAGAAGAAAATGTTCTCAGATTGAACAGAGGAAATGTTCAAATGTAAAAAGTAAAACTTAAAACTACAAACAAACTGACATCAAATATTAAAATACAACAGTGTCCAATCAAACCATATATTGAATTGACGTGGCCTCCATAGAAAAAAACCCAGATAATAAAAATACTTCATGGAGATGGACGGATCAAGCACAATGAGAGCTTTTTTGTAAAGTCATATCAGATCTGTGTTCACAGAAAAAAAATGAAGCTTTAAAAGAAAACAGACTACCCATTCTGTGAAACATTGCTGCAAAATCTGTACAGGGCACAATGAAATCATTCTGTGTCAGGGACCTCTAACCGGATAATGACCAAGAATAGACTGTACTTCTAAAAGCAGCTGACACTGGAAGGGGCCTGATCTCAGTCCTGTCCTTAGTCTAACTGATCATTTATGGGACAAGCTAGGAGAGGTGCTAGGTGAGAGGAGCTTGGAGAAGATGACAGAATAGACCACCCTTTCTGAACACTGTACTAATTATTCACAACTTTAAAACCAGTAACAGGATTTATTGTTGTGTCTGATCGGTATGTTTTAGTTTTAAGCCATGGAGACATGCAAGATCACGTGGCTGATTAGTGTAGGCTAATGCACGAGCAAGAATAACTTCAAACAACACTTTTGAATTGTTTTGTAAAAAAACTAGCATGACAATGTAACATTTATGGTCATTTAATTAATGGCATTTGGAATAAAATAAACTTAGTGACACAGCACAAACACTCTAGTTGGGAAACAGAACAGGGTTTTAATTAAAGATGCACTACAGGATGCATATCCTGGACGTAGGGAGCTGAGTCATTCATCAACACAAGCCTGACAAACCCTCTCCTCCTTAGAGCAACACAGCTTCATGTTAACATTTGAACAATGTGCTATACTGTGTGTTCCATTACAATCGCTGATGGAGTGGTGGGTGTGGGCCGCTGCATGTTGAGGTATCTTTGGTACTTCAAAAGCAATTGATACAGATATATCCATAAATATTTATTGTCAAAAGGTTTGATTTCATAACATTGTAACAGTGGTACATTTTAAAATAGTTGTATTACACACAACACAAGCATGATAAATGGGTGGCTGTGGCTAAAGAGGTAGACTGGGTTGCTGATAAGCAGAGGACCAGTTGTTCTATCCTTGGCTCCTCCAGACTATATGCGTAAGGGTCCTTGAGCAAAACTGACTTTAAGATTATAAAATATCTTTATAAATACTGTACATTCTAATTATAATCCTATAATCATAATTAACCGAGACACATTTGGGGACAAGAGAATTATACAAACATGTGGCTGCTACAGATAATGTTCAGATTTGTCTAGCCTGCACATGACCAAGGCCCTGTCGAAAATAGTTTGTAACAGGTTTTTGGATCACTAAATTTAAACAGTTTTTTATTAGTAGTAAAGCAAGAGGTACAGCAATGTGCATCATTATCCTCTATAAATGAAGGTTATGAAAACTGAAAACTATGGTGGCCCTGAGGATGTAACATGACATTTAATGAATGAATCACTGATCATTGAGATCTGTTTATTTGCATAAACAGTGCAAAGGAGATCTGATCACAAGTGGTCACAGAAGACACATTTTAATACCAGATGTTCACTTGGGATCGAATCTCTCAGGACAGACATTAATACTGGGTCTGATAAGCTCTTAAGTGCCTACCCCTATTCTTAACAATGTTTCTTATCAAGTCTAATTTGACCTGACATGGTTTAAAAATTAACCAATACACCTAACATAATGTTTTGTGTTGTTGCTCCATTGTAGATGCCCCAGTGTCTCTTTCTCTCTCTCTCTCTCTCTTTCACACACACACACATACACACACACAACCACACACACACAACCAGAAGCACTTGGAAAATTCCAGACACATCAGTGGCTCAGTGGACTATCAGACAAAATCCACAAAGTTCATACTGTCCACAGCAGGCAGGCAGAAGTCGACATTAACAGTCAGGTGCGCTTCAGTGTGTTGTTTGTGTGTGGCACTCAGCTGCAGAAAAGTTATTTTGCCTGATTCTGTTATTTCACCCAACATGCGTCAGCCATAGTGGACAAGCTATTTGCTCCAGTTATGTATTTTTGGGTACAGACATGAGAAAAGGACCAATCTTCTCAACTCTCTGTAAGAAAACAAGAAAGTTTTTAAAGTTTTTTAATCCAACTGTCACAGTCTGTATCATCTCTCTCTAATAAATGACGTTTTAGATTTTATGCACACTGTTGCCAAAAAAATTACATTTGAAGCAGTCCATGTCATGTAAATTTATATTCTAAATGTTTTGGATTAAACATAATCTGCCATCCAGTTAACACTCATCTTCAACTCATCCTATCATCCAGCAGATGTGGCGTCCTTATAGTGCATAATGGAGGAGGCCATAACCCCCATAAAAAAAATGTTATCTAATTATTCTATCTATTTTTATTCCTTAATTCTACAATACCCATGTCTGGTAAATTAAGTAGGCAGTTAGGGGCAACAGACAAAGAAGAAATGACTCAGGATAGTGATTGTGGTTAAATACTGAAAAACGTTAAAACATTTTATTATCTGCAGTTAATCAGAGACCGGAACAATCTGCTGAGTGCAGTGATGGAGTTGATGCCATGTTTGATGAAAAAACAAATATTTATTTTTCTTTTGCGCATTGCTATATTTATTTAAGAGGTGAGTAATGGAGCTTAGGATTCTTTCTCTCTCTCTCTTTTACCTGAGGGAAGTGTTCTAGCTCCACCTTGACTGACTGGTTATAAAGGGAGCCATCCTCTAGGTAAGTTCTCTCATACTGGGTCAGTCATTGGGACCAACATGGGGACCACAGGACTCCAATGCACATTATGGCTCATATACCTAACGCTTTTGGTCGGCTCACTCACTCAGACTGGTGAGTGATGGACTCAAAACTGTTTATTACAACTTAAACCCTCGATAAGAAATTTATAAGACGATAGGGGCTAATCATTGAAAAATGACTGAAGTGTATTTTGTTAAATGGTGAAAATAGGAGAGTTAACTTACTCACTTAAAGCTGTAGCTGTGATGGTACCTTGTTTGGATAACTTCTACATGCACCTTGTGTTTGTCTTTTGTATGTTATGAGAAACTGTAGAAATATTTATATAAATTGCCTTCATGAGCTTTTGAAAATGTATTTAAAAAATTAGATATGGAATATTAATTAATTTAATATATCTACAATAGAGCCAGTTGATTGAATAATAATAATATGTTGTCTCTGGGTTGATAATTATATTCAATTGAAGTTTTAATGGGGTGTCAGAACAAGCCGATACAGAATATCAAATAAAACTGGGGCAAAATTGAAAATAAGTATCTCTTCTCTTCACAACAGTTAACGTCATCACTTCTTCAAAACAGATCAGCGTGGCATCAGGTAACTGTGCAAAAAACCCAAATCTATGTCTTTGGAATTCTTAAAAATGATGTTCTAATGTTAATGTTTTTGTAGCAAATGCATCTCACATCGGCCGCGTGTGTACGACATGGGGAAACTATCACTTCAAGACCTTTGATGGACATTTCTACCAATGGGCCTCCACCTGTAACCATGTCCTGGCCTCGCAGTGTGAGGGCAGCTATGAAAATTTCAACATCCAGTTGAAGCGCAAGACAGATGACAAATCAGTCACCATCAGCAACATCATCCTGAAGCTGGACGGCTCAGTGGTGGAGCTCTCTAAAAACTCAGTGATTGCCAATGGCAAGATGTAAGTTCAGTCCAGACAAATCAAATGCATCCATCCGGGAAACGCTGTAGCCAATATGTTCAGTCGTACTTTGTGTTGAATTTCTGAATTAGTGAATCCCAAAGGAAAAGTAGCAGTCACATAGATATGATCATGGAATTGTATGTAGTTTACAGTAAAATGATGATAAATCTAACAGTGATTCCCAACTGTACAGCCCCTGGGCTACTCACAAATTGTGGGAGGCTTTTTGTTTAACCCAATGTCAATTTGTATCACAGACTACATCTACAGACCTACATTTTAAAACATGCACATTCTGTATTAGTGTTTGAGAGGGAAATATTTTACAATAGTGTGTTGCTAATGTTGGATTATCAAAGTAATCACTAAACTGACCTGAGTCAGTTAAAAAGAAAAAAACCTCAGTATTCCATTGGGGAAGAAACTGAGCAAAAAAGTCAGAACAGTGAACAATTTCAAATCTCAACAATCAGAATGTCTTGTATATAATATAATGTATCTATGTCAATTTTCACCATTGGAGAATAGATGGAAAACTGAGAAACTTCACATTGATAGCCTCCAATGATACTCAGGAAAGTTCTTTGGAGGACATTTAAAATGCTGCTGAGAATTAATCTGACAGTGATTTTCTATCCAGACTTCACAGTTCATGTATGAAGTGACCTTCAGTGAGTTGTTGTCGTTCAGTGAGTTGTCAGTGTAACATTCCAGTGGACGCATAGCAAGAGTTGGAACCCACACCTTAATTGGATGTACAAGAATTGTATGCAATTGACAGGATTTCAATGCCTCCCAGTGGCACAGAAGCAACAGCTGTAGACTGCAGCACTGTCAATGCTCATTTCAACCTGCAGGTTGATTTTCACACTATGATAAAGTAAAGTGTGTGTAGAACTTCTCAGTCACTCTTTATTTATCATCATTTCAACCTGAATAATATTTTATATATAATAAATGATCTAAAGTAATTTCATGGGTAATGGCATTAATGACAGTTTATGACCTAGAGCTTTTTTACTGATATCTAGAATCATTGATACTTTGAGACTATTCGCTGCATGCAACAGCAAATAGAAGGAAGAAAGACAAGGTTGTGTCAGTTTTTACATTTTTTTTCTTACCTGATGTATCACTCTGAGAAGGCTGGAGACGACTGTAGTGTTCAGCCCCTTCCCACAACTGCTGTCTCTCCACTTTCGTCATGTAAAAAATCTTTTACTGATTTGTTGTCACCCACAGTAGAAACGAGAGAGGTTTGACACAGAGAGGCTGTGTCAGATGCTGCTCATTGTAACACTAACTCTGTGTGTTTTGCTGCAGCGTGGCTCTGCCGTATGTCACGTTCGGGGTGACTGTGAAGGGAACCACGTCTAGTATCACTGTCGAAGCCAAGCTGGGAATCACGGCCATCTGGAACTTGGATGACTCACTGGATGTATGGAGAACACCCACGCACTTGCACACATTGCTCTCATGTGTACTTTGATAATATTTTCAACGCAAGTGTTAAGCACTTCAACCCTGCTGTAAACAGACCTGAAGGTTTTGCAGCTGCATAAGCCTGTGGCATAAGTCAATTAACCCTTAAACCAATTCACTTGTTAGAGGAAACAAGTGTCTTTGTGTCTACTCCCACAGTCTGATAGAGCTTATCTTTGCCAAAGAAACTCTACTGTTATCCAAAAGCTTTTAAAAACGTTTTTAAGAGCCATTCAGCTCATTAAGCCATTGAAAGCTACCGTAATTGTAGATTGGGTGTGCACAGCAGCCTGTACCTTAAGAGAGTCTGAATGTTTGCTTTATGTCAATAGGTTAGAATCTGCATTTACTAGTGTAGTGATGCTTTATGAATGTAAAGACATATGAGAGCCATGACAGAGTCTTGAAGAATTATGTTTTATATGAAACTAAATATTCAACACATCTGTCTGAGGTAACTGGCATTGGCCCCATGTTCCAGAGCTCACTGTTGCACAGGTCTGTTTTAAGGCAGACAAAGTGGGCTGAAAAAAAATAACAACCCTGAGGACTGAGGTAGCAGTGAAAGGTCTGACAAATATTGATCAAGTTGAGAGTCACTAGGTGAGTTTGTGGGATGCACATTGTCCTCACCACAAACGTAAATAACTCCAGCCTGAAAACCAGCTTGCAAATAGTTGCTTTAAGTTAACATGTGGCTGAGTGTGTTACTTCATTCAGATATATGTGATAAAAGGATTTCCTGAGAAACAAATTAGAGATTTTCAGAAAAATATCATTATTTTCAACATGGTTACATTGGAGTCAATTCTCATTACTTAATTGTTCTTGATATGAGAAATTAGTCAAATTTACAGAGTAAACGCACTAGCTACAAAGAAAATGTGTCTCTCCTCTATGACAGACACCACACACTGCTAACCAAGATGGTGCTGTGTGAAAAAACAGCACAATTCAAACTTGTATTAAGACATCCATGAATCATTAATGGGTAGGTCTAAACTTGTGCAAACTCTACTATATGTTTGGTGTCTGTTCACAGATTGAGATTGACAACAAGTACGAGAACCAGGTCTGTGGACTCTGTGGAAACTTTGACGGCACAGCCAATGATCTTGAGAAGGAGGGTAAGACTCTTTGTAGGCTTATGGGGGAGCTCTATTTTCTATTCTGTTTGTGTGTGTCTCTCTTGCCATGTGTGACTTGAGGGCTGAGTCATCATCCGAATTGTCACAGCAGTTAGATAAAGCATTGTGTTAATAAGTGGAGAGCAGTGGAGACATATATGCTTGAAATTGGTGTTTTAATTAGTGAAAAACACACAGAGACATATTTTTTACTATTATTTATTTCAGGGACTCCATTGTTTAGAAAAGTCAGTCACTTGTTTCAGAGCTCTGCCTGGAAATCTCATAATAGGCTTTCAGGGGAGCCAAGCTTGTAATTCAAACCATAATAAATACACCGTAGCTTGACTTCATGTTTCCAACACTGAAAAGAGAGAAACAAATTCAACATTGACACTACTCAGTGTGAAAAAAAACTTGCTTTTCGTATAGAAAACTTATGGCACATTGCTATTGAAACAAGGCACATGCTTATATCGTGCAGAGCAAATATGCTGCAGACTGAACCTACCTATTCACTTGATCACATGGTAAACCAACCCTTTGATTTGCCTGCAGTTAATTGCATGACACCAATGTGAATCTGCCTGAATCGGTCTGAGAAGACCCAAGCAAATTAATCATTTTTGCACAAAAATATTTTACACTGACTTGAAGTTTTCCATGGGGATTATTTGCAGTTCAGTTTTTACTCAGCTGTTGTATGAGATGGATACAAGTAGTGACCGTTGTGACTGACTCCACTGTACTGTACTGTAGGATCTAGTCTGTCTTTGGAAGACTTTGCTGAGGGCTTCAAGGTGGATGATCCATCGGAGTCGTGTGAGGAGCCTGAGCTGAGTGCCGAGAAGAGCTGTGGAGACAAGGTATCATCCTAGACAGATGAGAGGCTGTTTACCATCTCATATGTGCCAAGGTTGCAAAAAAACAACATGTTGCTATTTAACTTGTCAAGTGGGACAGCTTCTACATTTCCATAAAATTATTTTATTTATAATGCAAACTTATTCCATGCTCACAAGCTGATCAGTCATTACACCTTCCCATCAGTGCATTACCTGTTGTTCAACTTGTTGTGTGTTCTCAGTTATCAGAAACATTACGAGCAAGTCATCTATATCTAAAGAAGCTTTCCAAAGAAGTCTTATTAAAAACATAATCATTTAGTTGATGTTTACTGTCTTTTTTGTTTTTTCAGGATTTCTGTAAGCAGATTTTCTCCTCTGCTCCGTTCAGCGACTGTAAGAACCGTCTGGATGTGGGATCCTTCAGTAAAGTCTGTATGGCCGACTTGTGCAACTCTGAAGAAGACGATGACTCCTTCCTCTGCCAAACCATCTCAGAGTACTCAAGAGAGTGTGTCCATGCTGGTGGCAACCCCCAGCCATGGAGGAATGAAAGTTTTTGCTGTAAGGGTACTAATTGCTAATCTGCTAACTTGCTATTAGCTTGATTGTCTCCTGTTTATTTACGTGTTTGTCTCTGCAGACAAGGAATGTCCATATAACATGACATTCTTGGAATGTAGCAGTTCTTGTCCTGACACCTGCTCCACCCCTCAGGCCAGCCAGACATGTGACAGCCACTGTCATGATGGCTGCAGCTGCCCTGCCGGTATCACTCACATTTCATAAATACATGATAATACCATATGTAAGAAAATGCAATCTAACCATATTACACACAGAAATATACCTGACAATGAAGATTGTTATGTTCTTCCTCCTCCTCAGGAAAGGTGTTTGATGACATCAGTGCCACTGGCTGTATTGTACAGTCTCAGTGCGCATGTCTGCACAACAACAAAGTGTACCAGTCAGGAGAGTCGTACAGTCATCACTGTGGTTCCTGGTGAGACAAGAACTACATTTCACTTCATTGAGACAAGCAATAAAGAGAAATACATGAATCATTTTCATGAATCGCTTTTCGCTTTTTTTACTTCACGTATAGTTCTCCATTTATTTAAATAACTGTTGCTTAATCATGTTGAGATTACTTCAGGGAATTTACTTGTCATGACTTGATTACACTGTTGAAATAATACTGTGTGTGCGTGTGTGTGTGTGTGTGTGTGTGTGCACTGACAGTGAGTGTCAGGGTGGTAAGTGGAATTGCAGTGAACAGAACTGCCCAGGAACCTGCTCTGTGGAGGGAGGAGCTCACATCAACACCTTTGATGGAAAGGTCTACACATTCCATGGGGACTGCGCCTACATTATGGCTAAGGTAGACAACGTCATCAGGAACACTGCTACTCTACTGCCACATACACACCAGAGTTACACGTTTTTTTACACAACCCTCTCTGCATGGAATGCACCATGCTACACAATAACAACAGAGATCTCAGTGTGTCCTGAACCAGATTGGTGTTTGTGGTTGGTGATGAGCTTTGTTTCTTATGTGTGTTGCAGCACTCTAATGGCTCCCTATTCACTGTGCTGGTGGACCTGGTCAAGTGTGGTTTATCTGAGAAACATACCTGCCTCAGGGCTGTGACACTGTCCTTATACAGCAATTCTTTGGTAAGCTCATGTGTACACACACACACACACACACAAACACACACTACCCCCTTACCCTTAACCCTTAACTATTACAAGTAAATGTCTAATCGTCTTACTTAACCCTAACCTTGAGTTGTGTACACACACATGCACAAACACTAGTAATCAGATCCAGGTCAAATACAGGTAATTCAATATTTTGTATCGATTTCAGTCTGAAAAGAGAGTGGGATCACAGTATTGCAATTGATGGCTTAACTGATATATCACAGCTTTCCAGCCCTCACCAATATGGTACACCAAGCAGGCTTAGCAAGGCTTTAAACATACCCCATCATTACCATTGGACTAATGTTTGATGTATACTAAAATGTGTCTTTCCAAAAACAGGTTGTTAAAATTCAGGCGTCCGGACAGATCTTTGTGAACAAAATCCAATCTCAGCTTCCACTCTTCACACGTGAGTTACTTAACGCTTTAAGAGTTTTTAAATTAAAAAGACACAGTAATTGTATTCAAATATCTTGAAATGACTGGATAATCTGCTTTAACACTGATATTTTCAATGTCTCTGGACCACTGCAGCGGATTTAAGCATCTTCAAGCCATCATCCTTCTACATGGTCATAAGCACTAAAGTGGGCCTACAAATAATGGTCCAGCTGGTCCCTCTGATGCAGGTCTTCATTACAGCTAATCCTTCGCTCAAAGGACTAACCTCTGGTAGGACCTGGTCTTATTATGAAAAGCTTCCTCCACATTTTACTTGAGGCTTAAAGGGCCCTCTCTTTGTTTTTGTCATACATATACATATTATGTTACAATGTCAGATGTCCACATTACATTTTCATACAATGAGTACAAACAAATGTAGCAATGTGTGTAATAAAACCTCAACCATCACACTGCTCTGAACACCCATGGTTTAGATTTTTTATTTGGTCATACACTGCATGCAAAGGGTGTTCTCCCATAACAGTCTACTGAAGTATTATGAAAGGTGTTTAATGCACTGAGGACCCATATGAGATCTGATCACCCACATCACTTACAGAGGTGGTCTGGGGTGGCCACATTCTTTTTGCTGAGTAAACACAAATGTGTTGCAAGCCACACTGAAGGACCACCTACTCAGCTGCTGTCTCTGACCTGCTACACTTTTATAATCAACCAAATTCATTTTCACACTTTTCAGTTTTTCCTGTCCACTGATTCATTTGTGGCCACCACCACAAATTATACATTGACAGACATGTATTGATTTTCTTTTTTCCCTAAATGATTGAATCTTTAGTGGAGCTGCTTTTTATCAGTATTTACAAATGTCAATCAACCATTTAAATTCAAGAAACAAACAGTGGAAATGTGGAAATGTTTGCTTCACACCCATCTTCATTTGGGTAAATGTTTGTGTTAGTGTAAAACTGTGATTTCATCCAATAGGTTTGTGTGGGAACTTCAATGACATGATGACTGATGACTTCAGGGCAATGAGTGGGCTAGTGGAGGGCACTGCTGTAGCCTTTGCCAACACATGGAAAACCAGAGCCAACTGCAAAGACATTAAATCAAATTATGGACACCCCTGTCTTAATGGCATCAACAAGGGTACAGATCTCTCCGCATGCTTCATCACCGCAGATCATATATTAGTTATCACATCATATTTTATTAAGCGATTCAGTGCTATATTTCGGAGTTACATTTTTAGGCATATGATGTTTTTTAACAACTTCATTTCTGTGTCTCAGAGAGTTATGCCCAGTACAGTTGCTCCAAACTGACGGATCCCACGGGAGTGTTTGCTCCTTGCCACTCTGTCATCAGCCCCAACACGTACAAAGATGTAAGTCTGCACACACAAAGCTGCAATGACAAATAAACTAAATGGCCGTACCCTTGTTCATGTGTCCGTGACCACAATGTCTCCTAACAGAACTGCATGTATGACAGCTGTAACTGTGACAAAAGTGAGGACTGCATGTGTGCTGCAATCTCCTCATACGTCTATGCCTGTGCAGCGGCAGGAATCCACCTGAGTGGGTGGAGGTCGACCATCTGTGGTGAGCAAAACATCAAGGGCTCTTTTATTTTACTGTGGAAATTATTTTGGTAATAATTTTGTGATGATCATTTAATGTTGATCCATCTGGCTCCATCTAAGACCTGGAGGGCTCTGATTCACTTTACACTCTATGATCCATTGTTTTTCCCTATTTGCAACAATGAATTTTTAACTACATGAAAATCGAATTAATCTCTCAACTCTTTTTCTCTCCTACCAGGCAAATTCAGTGAATATTGTCCAACAGGAACAGTGTATGCCTATAACATGACCAGCTGCATGCGTATGTGCCGTTCCCTGAGCCAGACTGACTACTCCTGCCGGGTCAGCTTCCCCACAGTGGATGGCTGTGGCTGTGATGAGGGAACCTACTTGAATGAGAAGGGGAAGTGTGTGGCCATCACAAGCTGTCCCTGTTATTATAAAGATTCCATCATTCTTGCTAAACAGACTTTCACCAAAGACGAAAACACATGGTGAGTACAGAGGGCAGCGGTGCCAAAATTTGAGCTTTAAGCAGAAAAACATATAGATATA